GATTTGCCTTATTGTATTTAAGCAGGTAGCAAAGCATCAGCAACTATACAGCCATTTCTTTTGCTCCACCTTAATATTTTTCCTGAGCCTGTCTGTACAATAGAAGATGCACTGCGATTGTTTTCTGCACCAGAAACACTGGAAGGGTACCGAGCATCAGCAGCTGGAAAGGTGCATTTTATTTTCTACTTACCACCTTTTTTTTTTTGGGTTTTCTGCTCCTAATCATTTACGTTTGCTTAGATAATTTTAAGACAGGGTATTCATTTGAATTATTTGTGCAATCGTGTTTTTCAAAGCTTATTAATTGTTTTAGATCAAATATTATTTAACTCAGGATGTTAGCAAACTGTGACGTCATTATTGGTGGATCAGTCACGTTGGTTATTAATGGATGTATGGACATTGCAGTGATAATGCTTATGATTCGAAGGAAATCTTATTTATTTTCATTTTCATGAGAAGAAATAATTATATAATGAAAATGCAGTATGCAACTCAGATGATTTGACTATGTCTGAATGATCCCAGGCAGTGGTGGTTTCTGCTAGCAAGTCTGTTAAGATTTTGGAGCTTTCTGAGATAATGGTTTTGCACTTGGTGCGTTTTAACTATGGAAGTCAAGGAAGTACCAAATTGCACAAACCTGTGCATTTTCCTTTGGAGCTTGTTTTTGGTCGTGAATTGCTCGTCTCTCCATCCTCTGAGGTGATTTACTATGCTATAACTATTTATGGATATAGGCTTTTTTTTATCTTGTTATGTGATTTGGTTGTCATTAATTGGATGGGCGTTCCCCCACTTTTTGGGAAAAAAGAAAACCTTTTTTTTTCTTCAGTATAAAGTTACTGTCAGCATATAGAATTTAAATCACGAATAGATTCAGAAAGTCCCTCCCATATCCGTATTGGCTACTCTGAAGGCAATCGTCATTGTAGTCTTTGCATGAAGCTGTTATAAATAGAAGTTTCTCACATTTGAGTAGTGTTTCACCCTGTGAAAGATGAAGAAATGATTTGGGTATGATCAAATAGAGATCTCATAGTTCTCCATCAAAGTAGTCTGAAATATTATTTACTAAAGTACTGATTTTCAATTGCAAAAATTGAGTATGTTTAATTTCTTACAAGTACTAAATAATCAATGCCTGATGAACTTAGTCGATTAACAATTTTTATGTGTGGGTAGAAAGTATGAACAAGCCATAATTGTTCCTCTTATTAATTTTTTTTTCATCATTGACTGATACAGGGTAGAAGATATGAACTTGTTGCAACAATCACTCATCACGGACAGGACCCTACGAAGGGACACTATACTGCAGATGCACGCCATCCAAGCGGCAAGTGGCTGCATTATGATGATTCCTCTGTTACACATATTCGTGAAAGTAAGGTGCTGCACGACCAGGCGTACGTTCTCTTCTACAAACAATTGTAGGTATTACGGTATTTAGAAACTGAGCATGTATTCTTGTACATGTATTTCATTATATTCAGAAGCGATAAAAATGCGATATAGACTTATAGTGATGGCAATAGCTAGTCAACAAATAGTGTTTCACCATTTTCTTGAAACTAGTCACTTGAGATTTTCTTGCCTGTCAGAGAAATATCTTTTCAATGGAACTTGAGATTTGGAATTCGGTGTTGGTGAATGTCATTGATTTAGTTTTACTTCATGTAAATGTCTTGTTTCGTAAGTTGTATTGTTTAGTTCTGTCCAATCGTTCGTGCCCAAAGTCATGAAACTGGGCAAGGAATTCTATTGAAATTGTGAGAATCAGTAGAATGTTAAATGATGAGTTCTGGGAAACTGCTTTCTAAATATTTGATATCAGTAGAGTAGGAGCACCTGCAGCAATGGGATTATTGAAGATTAGTGCGTACGGACGATTTGAAAGCCCATTGGGCCTGTCTATGGATTGAAAAAACTGTGTTTGGACTGCCCCATTTCCTATTTGGACACCTGTAAACTTGCTAATAAGAACTATGCTATAAATTGAAGCCCCTTAATTATAATTATGAACTCTATAGTACTAGACAATAGAATGGAGACCTTTTTATTCAATTACATTCACCCCTGTTTGGTTTAGCTAAAAAAATAATAAATAATAAATAATAATAATAATAATAATAATAATAATAATTTGAGTTTAAGTCTACAATTCGTTTAAATCACATGTTTTTTATGAGATCTACAATTTTTATTAACTTTTTAATTGCAGATTTTATCAACTTTATCGGAATCTACTGGTTTTTAGCAAAACTAAATAGGGTTCCATTAAAGTGTTGTAAATAGGATACGTAATGAGTTAGAATATTTCCAAATATTCTTAATTTTATGTAACCAATCTAGCACAGTGTATATTTCTCAAATATTCTAATATGTCAACAAAAATAAATTAAAAGAGAGAACATTAAGAGCCTGTTTGGGAGTGATTTTGAGAATTAATTTTTTGACTATTAGGAGAAAAGCGGGATCTACCTGTGAGAGAAGAAGTGAAATATGACGGTTGGAATAGTGAAATAATAGTCAAAAAATCAATTTTTTGGGACGAAAAATCGCTCCCAAACAGACCCTAAATTTTGAGACAGAGACGTTTAGAAAGATTAAAGAATGGTTAATTGGATATCTTCAAACAAATTCAAGTTTACATGATCAATCATGCTACACATCCAGGTTTAAATCTAAACTCAAATTCAGATGGGACACATATCGACATATAATTAGACAATTTAAAAAATTAAAATAAAAACACTTAATTATTTTCTAACACATCGATCTATCTTTTCACTTCTTATTTTTAAATCTCATTAAGTCGTTTTATACTTACATGATAGGGTGGCAAAATAATGGAGTGGTATAGCCGCCCAAATATGGGCCCTACTTATTTTTGTATTTCACTTTTGCTTTTCGCTTATGTTGTGATAGCTTACGTAAGCTTACTAACGTTTGCTTCCACATTTCTTCATTTAGATTTCAAAAAAAGCCAGCCAGCCAGCCAACCCATAAGCTGATTCTTGAAAAAAAGTGATTATTTATTTGCTTGAAAGCGATTCCAATGGGTGAAAAAAAAAAAAAGAAAGTGGCAATATTTTATTTTAACGTCAAAGTGACGCAGGAAGTGACGTGTAATCTCACGTGACTGATGACGCGGAGAGTCGTGTGACCAAGAGAATCGAGAAGGAGGAAGGGTAAAATCGGAAAGAGAAATTAAATGAAGTGGCAATGAGCTGTCAAAATGGGGAAGTGGACACGTTTAGAGAGGTGTGGTCCCATCTCATGCCGACACCCACCCCCACTCTACGCCCAATGCTTTCCAGAGCCCAGACTTTTTATTTAGGCCAACTGGGTACCGAAATAAATGAACTGTCAAAATACTTTCTTTTTTTTTTTTTTTTTTGAAGAATATCCATAATATATTAATATCATGTTAAGTGAGAATTATTTTTTAGACGATTTTAACCATACTACAATTTAATTATTTCAATAATATCTTACTTTAAATTTTTCAATATGTAATAAATACTACAAAATCCTTATCATGTACTCTCTCCTTTCCATTTATATAGACTTGTTTTATTTTTCACACAGATTAAAAAAATCTTATTTAATGATATTTAAAAAGTAATTTTTGTTAATAACTTTTATAGTTTGTCCTTATTTATATTTGTACAATTTTAAGATTAAGTGAAAAATTAGTTATAATCGGGCAAATTAAATAAAAGTATATTAGTAAACGAACAAAATAAAATAAGCTCGGTCAAAAAAGGACTATATAATTGGAACAACGAAATAAGGAAAGTAAGTCTATATAAATGAGACAAGGGGAGTATGAATTTCGTGTTGTTAAGTATCAATTAATTAACATTCACATTACTCTAAACTTAATAAATCTTGACTCGATGAATCTTAATCTACGTGAATCTATAGTTATTATGGATGAATTTATTTATATTCACATATCTAAAAATTTTAATGGGTATTTAAATTCATACATTAACAATTAATTCCTATATACCAAATATAGTATAAAAATATTGCTCATTTGTAGTATTTTATCATCACAAAAAAATTTGAATTATAGAAATTGAGTTTTATGACTACAATAATATTTTCTTAAATTTCAATCATAAATTTTATTTTCTTTAGTTCGTTTGAGACACATCAAATCTAACCAACAAATTGATATCAAATATTATTTTTACAACACTTATCATTGTAATACCAAAGAATATTGTAGGAAATTTGGGATTCAAAAATCTTGTGAGTTTTTAGACCCCAACATATTTGGCATTTGCACTTTTGGTCGGATTGTTGTTTGAAAAAAAAAAAAAAAA